CACAAAGCGCTGCGCCTGCCAGGAAATCTGCATTTCAGATATTTATATATATAATCAGTTTATATTTATGTATACTTTTTCATGTGTGGATGGTTGTGGTGCATGTTCTATGTTCTTGGTTCTGCAGCTGAGAAGCTGATTGAATGTGATTTTTTTTTGCATGATGGTCTAAGTTTCCAAAACCACATGGCCACATGGCACAGCGACATCACCTTTCCAAAGCTTTAGTGGTTAGTCTAATGAAGAATCACTGTTTTAAAACAGTTTTTGCAAAGGGAAAAGGAAGAACCCTTTGATCTGGAGGTTTTCCCATTTTTGATACAAGTTTCTTAAATGATTTGGGTGACTTTTCGGTTTTGAAGCTCTTCCCAGGTTTCCGCACAAAATCTGCACTTCAAGCTTCACAAAGCGCTGCGCCTGCCAGGAAATCTACATTTCAGATAATTATATATATAGATACATTCACTTAATATTTATGTATACGTTTTCATGTGTGGATGGTTGTGGTGCATGTTCTATGTTCTTTGTTCTGCAGCTGAGGAGCTGATTGAATGTGTGCTTTTGTGGCATGATGTTCTAAGTTTCCAAAACCACATGGCACAGCGACATCACCTTTCCAAAGCTTTAGTGGTTAGTCTAATGAAGAGTCACTATTTTAAACAAGTTTTTGTAAAGGGAGAAGGAAGAACCCTTTGTTCTGGAGGTTTTTTCAATCTTTGATGCGAGTTTGATACATGATTTTATACAAAATCTTCCTGGGTGACTTTTCGGTGTTGAAGCTCTTCCAAGGTTTCCGCACAAAATCTGCACTTCAAGCTTCACGAAGCGCTGCGCCTGCCAGGAAATCTACATTTCAGATATTTATAAATATATATATATATATAATCAATGAATATTTATGTATACTTTTTCTTGTGTGGATGGTCGTGGTGCATGTTCTATGATCTTTGTTCTGCAGCTGAGGAGCTGATTGAATGTGTGTTTTTTGGGCATGATGGTCTAAGTTTCCAAAACCACATGGCACAGCGACATCACCTTTCCAAAGCTTTAGTGGTTAGTCTAATGAAGAGTCACTATTTTAAAAGAGCTTTTGCAAAGGGAGAAGGAAGAATGCAAGCGGGTAGCGCGCCTTTTCCAGCCTAAAAGGGGCTATGTTCGTGAACAAGTTCAAGCTGTACATGATGCACATAAAGCCTTGCACCCCACTTGAAAAGGCGGGTGTCTTTCTCGGCTTTTCACAAGCTTTCTGCCGCTGCCCACGGGATACTGGGCATTCCCAGTCCAGGACAGCACTTACAGCTTCGTAGCTGCAAGTAGGGCCGACTGCGTTGCTGCAGTCGTGGACATGTTGAGTCCAAATGAAACACATCCCTGCCTTCCAGGATGTAAACTTCCGAAAAGCGTCCAGTGTTCCTCTCGCACTGGATGGCCACATCTTTGCTCTCGGGCCGCGCCGGCTTGAAGCTCAAGCCCCCACTCAAGGCAAGGTGTCTTCCCACCATGCGGAAGCACCACCACAAAGCCGTGCCCTGCATGACCAGCAAAATGCCAAAGGCCACTGCAAGGTCTGTGAAGATCCAATCGAATCCCCACTTTGATGCTTCTGTATTGGGCTCCTCAGTCCTCACTCCCTCAGCGCTCTGCAAGAGAGTCAGCATTGCCATGATAAGGGCCTGCTTGCTGAACCCGCTGAGGGCGATGGCGTTGATGCTCTCAACATGCTTCTTGCTCTCCTGCTCGTAGGCTGTCTCCTCCTTCAGCCCGATGCCCAGCTTCAACCTCAGCTCATTGAACCTCTTCACTGCCAAAGCCTTGGTGCCGAAGTCTGCTGTGTTGTCTTGGCTTGGCACAGCATGCAAGCTAAACAGCTTTCGATGCAAAGCATCTTGCACCCACAATGACTTCACTTCGAGGTGTCGGATCCTCCCAACTCCCTGGCGCTGGAACACGCCACGGGCTGCACTGCTGTCAAGGTAGACTTCCATCTGGAGCGGGAAGCCGATGAAGGCAAACACCTCCTTCATGAACAATCCCTCACTGCAGGCGGCCACGCCACCATTGAACTCAGCTTCGCCAGACGACAGGCAAAGCATCTGGAGGCTCCTGGCATAGCTGAACAGCAAACAGCCGCCAACCTCAAACATTGCACAGGCACAGCTCTTCCGGGTCCTCTTGCAGTTTGCCCAATCAGTATCTGAATGCACCTTCAGAATCTCGACTTCACCATCCTTGGGCAACCACACGCCATAGTCCTTTGTGCCCTGCAGGTAGCGTGCCAAACGATGCAGCTTGTGAAGGCTTCCATCTGTAGGCTCCTTCATATCCTTGGTCAGCTCGCGAACTGCGAACTGCACATCTGTCCTGTCATAGGAGAGGTACAGAGCAATGCCAACTCCTGCCCTGTAGATTCTCAAGCTCTCCCCACTCAGCTTGTTGCCCTCCTTGACCTCCGAGCACAGATAGGGTGTTGGAGCCGGATTGCACTCTTCCAAACCCAACATCTTCAACAAGTCGCTGATGTACTTCCCACGGGGTGTCAGGAAGATGCCGCCATTCATGACCTCACGAGTCCTCTTGAGGTGCGTCCACTTTTCTCCCACGCTGTTCTCATGGATCTGACTCTTCATCTTAATCTTCTCATGGAGCTTCTTCTCCAGCTCCAGCAAAGCTGCTTTTGGTCCGGTGGCATAGAAGTCGTCCATATGCACTTCCATCAACACGCCACTGGCCGGATTGTAGAACATCCATGGCGCTGCTGGGTTCCTCTTGAAGTCAATCTCCTTGAGATGCCCAGCTGCCCATTCCACAAAGGCCTGGCCAGCAATGCGTCTGCCATACCACTCAGTGTTGAGCTTCCAGACCACGCGATCAGGTAGATCGACTCCGCTGTCTGCCATCTTCTTCAACCACTCCTTGGGAGGCTTCATGTAGGCTTCCTCTGCAATTGGCACTTGCCAGAATGCATTCTCTGCATCAGCTGTCAGGAAGCTGTAGCCCATCTTGATGCCCACAATGTCGATGACCCTTGACGTTGAGGTACTGGATGCCACCGCGAACACGTCAGTGCGCGGGTCTCCCCGCTTGAACTCTCTCACACAGTACCTGCACCTCACCGAGCCATCTGGCTTCCGGGTTCTGACCCAGACAGCATCCAGGATCTTCATGCCATCCTTCTGCTCCACGGGGTCATAGGTCTGGTACTTGTCCATCTTGCGGAATTCCTCTGCATCACCTTCATCCATTTCCTGCCTGCTCAAAGGCTTGCTCTCCTCATTGTCTGAGTCCTCATAGGCCTGGTCCACGTCATCCTCGCACACAATGGTGTCTTCTGTTGGCGAATACAATGCACCCACAAAGATTCCAGCCACGCGAGCTCTCTTGGCCTCTGGAGTCATCTCACCAGACTCTCCTGCCCATGCCCGTCTTGCAGACATGCCCAAATCCATAGGTGCTGCCTCA